AGCAATTGGTTCCTGTGGAGAAACTCCCCAAGTATGCCCAGGCCGGCTTCGAGGGCTTCAAAACCCTCAACAGGATCCAGAGCAAATTGTTCCGCGCCGCGCTGGAGAGCGACGAGAACCTGCTGCTCTGCGCCCCCACGGTGGGACCCGGGCCTTGGGGGTTTTTGGGGGTTTTTTGGATTTTTTTGGGGTGGTTTTGGGGTGTTTTGGCATTCCTTTGGGGTTTTTAGGGGTTTTTTTTTAGGATTTTTTGGGGGGTTTTGGGTGATTTTGGGGTTTTTTTTAAGTGGTTTTGGAGTGTTTGGGACTTTTTGGGTGGTTTTGATTTTTGGGGGGTTTTCTTGGGGAGTTTTTTGGGGTTTTTTTCTGGGGTTTTTGGGTTTTTTTGGGATGGACATGCACCGTGTGACATTTTTTGGGGTGGAGAAGCTCAGGGGGTTCCTCAAGGTGGATCTGGGGTTGGGGATGGAGAAGCTCAGGGGGTTCCTCAAGATATTGCTCAAAGTGAATTTGGGGTTTAGGGGCTGAAGAACCTCAAGGTAGATCTGGGGTTTGAGGTTGAAGAACCTCAAGGTAGATCTGGGCTTTGGGGCTGCAGAACCTCAAGGTGGATCTGAAGTTTGGGGCTGGTGAACCTCAAGGTGGATCTGGGGCTTGGAGTGGAAAACCTCAGGAGGTTCTTCAAGGTAGATCTGAAGTCTGGGGCTGGTGAACCTCAAGGTGGATCTGGGGCTTGGAGTGGAAAACCTCGGGAGGTTCCTCAAGATATTCCGCAAGGTGGATCTGGGGTTCAGGGCTGAAGAACCTCAGGAGGTTCCTCAAGGTAGATCTGGAGTCTGGGGCTGGTGAACCTCAAGGTGGATCTGGGGCTTGGAGTGGAAAACCTCAGGAGGTTCCTCAAGGTAGAGCTGGAGTCTGGGGCTGGGGAACCTCAAGGTGGATCTGGGCTTTGGGGCAGGAGAACCTTGGAATTCCGGGATTTTGGAGACTTTTGGGACAGAAGGTGTCTGTCGCAGGGCGCGGGGAAGACCAACGTGGCGCTGATGTGCATGCTGCGGGAGATCGGCAAGCACATCAACATGGACGGCACCATCAACGTGGACGACTTCAAGATCATCTACATCGCGCCCATGAGGTCCCTGGTGCAGGAGATGGTCGGGAGCTTCAGCAAGGTGAGGCTCCGTGGGGCTGGATTTGGGATCGGGTCCCAGGAGGTTTGGGATCAGATCCCAGGAAAGTTTGGAATCACGTCCAAGGAGAAGTTTGGGATCGGGTCCAAGGGGAGGTTTGGAATCACTGAGGGGTTTGGGATGAGCAGGGTCAGATCCCAAGAAAGGTTTGGGATCAGATCTCGGGAGGTTTGGGATCAAATAAAGGGGACATTTGGGATCAGATCTCAGAGGACATTTGGCATCAGGTCCCAGGGGAGTTCTGGGATGAGTGGGATCAGATCCAGGAGAAGACATCCAGGTGGGATTTGGGATCTCATTTCTGGGAATCCCAGAAGAGGGAACACCCTCAAAGCACCCCAGGAGAAGTTTGAGTGGGATTTTGGGGTCCTTCCTCCACCCTCATCCTGTGGGTTTCTCCAGAAGTTTGGGTGGGATTTTGGGGTCCTTCCTCCACCCTCATCCTGTGGGTTTCTCCAGAAGTTTGGGTGGGATTTTGGGGTCCTTCCTCCACCCTCATCCCGTGGGTTTCTCCAGAAGTTTG